TTCTAAGGCTACCACATCACATTGTTAGTTCATATTGAGGATAGAGTCAGTTAAAGCTTTACATTTGGAATCGTGGGGCACCTGATAAAAACTGTGGACGTCCTACCCCCGAAATGCATTAACACACAATTATTGCTGCAATTTCAGGTGGTTCATGGGTCTCCTATGTTTCTCCTTTCTTTATGATTATACTTTGTTGATTACTTTGCTAAAGTCATAGGTTCTCTCGTTCTCTACCAGTGAGTGGTGTTACATCGTCAAAAATTAAATGGGAAACAAGGTCAGTCTTGGCATTACCTGGTGAGTTCGTGCTGCCTCCTAGTGTGTGGTGCTTTCTTATTTTCAAGTGCTAACCATTTTTTAACAATCCAGGATCCATCTCAGGCTAACCAGTCTGTAGTTCGGGAATCTGTCTGGCTTCTAGTCCTCTCCCATTCATCACGATTCCACACAGATTGCAGAAAGCAATTAAGCAGCCTTATCTGCGAAGCCTCTCAGAATCCCAGGACGTGATTTTTGAGATTGAGTGACTTGAACTCAGTGAGAATAGTTGGTTTTTCTTTTCACTCAACCATCTTGGATTTAAGTTTCTTCTTAGTAACTGTTTTTGTTTTGGGGGTTTTGGTTTTTTTTTTTTTTTTTTGAGACAGAGTCATGCTGTGTCACCTGGGCTAGCATGCAGTGGTATCATCATAGCTCACTGTGACCTCAAACTCCTGGGCTCAAGTGATCCTCCTGCCTCAGCCTCCTGAGTAGCCGGGACTACAAGAGCGCACCACCACGCCTGGCTAATTTTTTCCTATTTTTTTAGTAGAGACTGGGTCTTGCTCTTGCTCAGGCTGGTCTCTCAACTGAGCTCAAGCGATCGTCCTGCCCTCGGCCTCCCAGAGTGCTAGGATTACAGGTGTGAGCCACCGCACCTGGCCTGTTTCTTCTTAGTAACTGTATTTGATCTTCAGGTTGGAAAGAATAAGACATTCTTAGGTAAGAAGGGAAATAAAATAGGAGTAAGGCTGTTTCTCTTTGTCATTTGTTAATATTACATAAACCACCCCGGGGCAGGGAGCCTCACTTTTCCCTCCTTTTACTTTAACCTCTAAAATGCTGTTTATTCCATATCTGGTACTTGGTAAAGTTAGAGTTCATCACGAGGATTTAGCCTTATTCACTATATTCTTATAGCTCCGTTTCACTCTTTATAATACTTGTTTTATATGCCCATTTTTTTTTTTACCATCTGTTGTAAGTGGTTTCTTAACATCTGAATTCCAGAAAGCTCTCTGTGCAGCACATCAGATTTTTTAGATACTTTCCCCTCTTCTTCCCCTCATCAGTATATTTTGTAATTATGCAGTCAGCATTATGCTTTTGAGAGCTTCCAAGCCTTCTTGAGCTTCCTTACACAATTTCTGATCTTGGAATTGATCCTAATTTTCCTTTGAAAAACTTGAAATCTGCCTATCCAATATGTGCAGCATTCTCGTTCCTTTGTTTCTTGATCTCCAAACATGGCTGCTTTCTCTAAAGCTTTCTCCTACTTTCATATTACCAATCATGTTTTACTAGTGAGGATTAGGTCCAAAGTAACAATTTCTCTCATTTCTCCTCTACTTTCTGAAAGCCTAAATTTTTACACAGACCAAAAGCATGTCATCAGATGCATTTATTTAAGCTGAGTGACAGACACTTTCACAGCTGTCTCCTGGTCAGTAATAATAGCTAATAAAAGCTAATATTTTTTGCACACTGCCAGATCACAGGCACTATACTAAATCCCTTTGATGGAGCTGATCTCATTTTTCTCCTATGATAGAGTTAGGAGGCATGGGTGCTATTGTTATCCCAATAATACAGTTGAGGAAACAGGCTTAAGGATGTTTGAGTTACGTGTCCATGATTGCACAGCTTGTAAGTGCCAAAGTCAGAAATTTCCTAAATTGGATTCTTAATCACCAGACATGGTGCTTAATTACTACGCTGGACAAGATTCATTACTTGAAAACCTGTGTAGCTCTCAGACCACTGGCTGTGCACAGTAGGCACTTAAATATTTAATTTGAAGTTTATGATTCTTGTTGATTTCCAGGGTATTGCCTTTTAGCTCCTACAAGTCAATAAGAAAAAGATAAGACAAATGAAGAAGAAATGAATGGAAAATCAAAATGGGAAAAGATGCTCGTTCTTTCTTTTTTAAATCAAAATTTAAAAATTTTTTACAAAGAGGGTCTCACTCAGGCTGGTCTCAAACTCCTGAGCTCAAGCGATCTTCCTGCCTCAGCCTCCCAGAGTGCTAGGATTACAGGCATGAGCCACTGCGCCTGGCTTAGATGCTCATTTTTAATGAAATATATTTTTGATGGCTTTAGGAGACCTATTTTTTGAATGGCAAGAACTGTATTTCTGTTTATAAATATGATACATGAAAAACAAAGAATGCAAAAATGTTTGTGAAATTACAGAGAGAATTACTATTAACACAAGCAAGCATACACACAATTTTTTAAATTAGGATAATACTAGAGTACTACTGCAGTTTAGAAACTGAATATATTGTGAACATCATTCCACGTTAATGAACACTCGATGTTATCCTTAGTGTCCATATAGTATCCCATTGTTTCTCATAAGAGATTGAAACTCAGTTTGTTTCCTTGGTTCTTCACCTTTAACTTTCTATGTGTGAAGTGAAAGTAGTGAAGGTTAAGACCTCAGGTCCTTCTCATATTTTCCTTTATTATATTATTATTTGTTTTATTGAAATTACTTGTTTACTATTAAGTATTAGTCATTATTTGCTGTGATTTCTTCCACAGTTGTTATTTTGCTAGGAAGAATAGGACTGGATGTTCAGTCATTGTGATCCATATGATTGATTCTGTTTAATAAGAACAATTATAGGCTGGGCGTGGTGACTCATACTTGTAATCCTAGCACTTTGGGAGGCCAAGGCAGGAGGATCGCTTGAAGCCAGGAGTTTAAGACCAGCTGGGCAACATAGCAAGACCCTGTCTCTACAAAAAAAAAGAAAAACTAGCCAGGTGTGGTGGCACATGCCTGTAGAGGCTGACGCAGGAGGAGTGCTTGAGCCCAGGAGTTTGAGGATGATGCCACTGCACTCTACACAGGGCAACAGAGCAAGACCCTATCTCCTAAAAAAAAAAAAATACTATCTTTTATTTGAGAGAAGAGTGGTCATTAGGATCATTCATTGAACATGTTATGTGTTTTAATAAATGAGTATGTCCATTTAAAGATTTCTCTAAAGAATAATGGAAGCTATGTTATAACATATTGGAAATCGCATGAACTTTCGAGTAAAATTGTCCATTTTCAAGGTTTAGATCCTAGCTCTACCATTTTTAGTTAATGTAAACAATTTGGGCAAGTCACTTAACATTCTGAGCTTCAGTTTTCTTTATCAGGGAAACACGGATGATTATTGTGCTCTCACAGGAGGAATAATTTAACATGAGATGAACATGTACAACACCCAGTGCAGTACCAATGTTAGTTTTCTCTCTTATGTAGTTAGACGAGGGGTTCTCAACCTTTTTTGTGCCGTCTTCCCCTTTGCTAGTTGGGTGAAGCCCATGGAAGGACTGCTTCTCAAAATAATGATTTTTAAATCATAAAATAAAATGCCTGGGATTACAAAGGAAACCAGTTACATTGAAATATAGTTATCCAACTACTTACCGAAAATAAATTCTGTGGTGCTGTTTCAGATACTTTTTTGGACTAAGGTGAGGAATAAATGAATGAATGGATTAAAGAAAGAAATAAGAAAGAGGGAAGGAAAAAGAGGAGAAGGAAGGAGAGAAAGCTCATAAATACATATGCCTGGTTTTGACTCCCTCCCAAGCTGTCATCACATATTTCCAACAGGCTCCTAGACATTTCCTCCTCAGCATCCTGCCAGCAACTCATCCCTTACTGATATCACCACTCCTTCTATCAAGTCTAAATCCTTAAGTCACATTTGAGTCTTCACTTTTTCACCCTATCCCTACTTCATATCAGTCATGATGTCTGTAGATTTTATCTCTAGAATATCTAATTTCTACTATACAAACTTAAGACTCTCTTATCTCATTCTTGCCCTGTTCTGATACAGGAGTCTTCTGCTTGGTCTCCAACTTCCTACCTCTTTCACAAAGTATGCCTTGGGTGTTTTCAGCCAGTTTGATATGTTCTATATCTAAAGTTCTAAAGCACTCACAGATGTGCTGTTCAGCTTCATACCTAATTGTCAGCTGACTGACTGACTTATTGCTAAATTTGTATTTGTTTTCAGTTTCTCAGATATGTTCTAAGTTCTTTAAGGCAATGGACCACATCTTAAACTTATTTTTGTATCTCCTTAGAGTGCTTAGCACAATACTTAAAATACTTCATAAGATCTTGGTAATCATCATAATTAGGTAGTTATAGCTCCAAAAGCAAAAAGGAAAGAGTTTGACTTATTCTTGCCTACTGAATTATTACTGTAGGAGTTGATAATGTCAGACCAAGTCTTTACATCAAAAACCTACTAGAAATTTTACATGTATTTAAATTTTCACTACCTTACTAAATTAACTCAAATTATTCAGTCATCGTTGTTTTACCATGCTACTTGTGATTAAGAAAACTGTGGGCACTGTTTCCTCTACTGTGAAGCCCTGTATTTTTTCTTATAGCCCCCACCTGTAGCCCAGGGCCTGACATATAACAGGTATCTAATATATTTTGTTAGATGAATTTCCTTCTGCCTGCAAATTAACTTGTGCCTCAAAAATTGTTTCCTTTTAAAAGCTTGGGAATTTACATAGATTATTACAAACTGTAAAAACAAATACGATTTTTCAAAGTTTATAGAAAACAAAAGAAAGCAGGTGATCTTACCAGGAAAAGCAGTCTTAGTAAAGTGGGCTTAAAACGATCATATTAGTAGGCTTTGATATTTTGTCTGCCATTGATGCTTTTTCTTTTGGTTAATTTTTTTTTACTTGTATTCTTAGGTTAAGACATCAGAATTTTACAGATACTCTCGACAGCTGCGTTATGAAGTTGACCAAGCACTGAATTACTTTCAAAATATTTACCAACAGCCTTTGTTGGATATGAAATCAAGCCGCATTCGTTCTGCCAAACCCCAAACTACAGTATTCCGAGGAATGATTGGACATAGCATGGTTAACAGTAAAATACTTCTCTTGAAGAAACCAAGAGTCTGGTGGGAATTGGAGGGACCACAAGTTCCTCTACGGCCCGACTGCCTTGCTATAGTCAATAATTTTGTGTTCCTGTTAGGCGGGGAAGAATTAGGCCCAGATGGCGAATTCCATGCTTCTTCCAAAGTGTTCAGGTATGACCCAAGACATAACTCGTGGCTGCGGATGGCAGACATGTCCGTGCCACGTTCAGAGTTTGCAGTCGGTGTTATTGGGAAGTTTATTTACGCTGTAGCAGGCAGAACCAGAGATGAGACTTTCTATTCAACTGAGAGATACGACATCACCAATGATAAATGGGAATTTGTGGATCCTTACCCAGTTAACAAATATGGACATGAAGGGACAGTGCTCAATAACAAGTTGTTTATCACTGGTGGAATCACCTCATCTTCCACCTCCAAACAAGTGTGCGTCTTTGACCCCAGTAAAGAAGGGACCATAGAGCAGCGGACCAGGAGAACGCAAGTAGTTACCAACTGTTGGGAGAATAAGAGCAAGATGAATTACGCAAGATGCTTTCACAAGATGATTTCTTACAACGGCAAGCTTTATGTTTTTGGTGGTGTCTGTGTGATCTTGAGGGCCTCTTTTGAATCTCAGGGATGCCCTTCCACAGAAGTATACAACCCAGAGACTGATCAGTGGACTATCTTGGCATCCATGCCGATTGGTAGAAGTGGCCATGGTGTAACCGTGCTGGACAGACAAATAATGGTTCTTGGAGGCCTTTGTTATAACGGTCATTACAGCGATTCCATTCTCACTTTTGATCCGGATGAAAACAAATGGAAGGAAGATGAGTACCCTCGGATGCCCTGCAAGCTGGATGGTTTACAAGTATGCAACCTGCATTTTCCGGACTATGTACTAGATGAGGTCAGACGTTGCAACTAATGACATCATCATTCTCCCTTAAAAAAAAAAAAGGCAAACAAAGTGTTTGTGGTAAAGTAGTTAATTAAAAAACATAAAGAAAAACCTCACCAGTTTTACTATCAAAGCCATTGGTCAAATATCGTAAAAATTTTTCATTCTGTGCTAGCATCCTTTTTTTTTCTTTTCAGTGGCCTCAAATTCATGCAATAAGTTTAATTCTAAGTGCTAGCTCTTAGAACTACCAGAAGCAGTTTAATAGAATGCTTCACTTATCTGGGAAATTGATTTTCTGCTTTAAACATTTCTTCCTAATGTTAGCGTAGGAGTCATGCATCTTCTAAGAGAAGACCCGATAGTGTCACTGGATGTGATTTCAGTCCCTATCTCTATCTGAAACCTTTTTGAGCATTTAGTGTATTTCAGTCTGTTATACTTTTTGGTTTTATTATTTAAAAGTTTAAAACTCTTGACCTTTTTGCATGGCTTTTTGCTGAAAATGCAAAAATATAAATTTTCTACAAAATTAACTTTTTATATTCAAAACACTATTTCTAAGCTGCCTTCTCTTATCCGCATTGTGTTAGTGAAAGCATATCCATACTTGCTTACATCCTATAAATATATAAGGCACATCCCTTTTATGCGTGGTTAGGATTCTATATTTTTAAGCTAGTGCACTTGCACACACGGTTCGCCATACTTGTTGAATTTTAGATGTAGTGTCTTTTCGTGTACTAACATTTTTAGAAAGTTAAAATAACTGGAGTCCTCATTTGGTATCAGAGTAGCCTATCTTCAGCCCATACTGATTCAGTAATATTTAAACTCCTTATATTCCTGAAACATGTATGGGCTTGTGAAAACTAACATTTTATATTTTATTTTCAGAAGTAAACATGAGTGTTTCTTGTCGATGTATGTCTTTTCTTTTTGAAAATGTCTTTCTTTGCAGTCTGTTTAACGTTGCCCTGTTTTTAGTGAGAATCGGAGTGGTATATGACAAGCTCTGAGCCTGCAGCGTGCAAGCACTTTTAAAGAGAATTTAGGTAATACCAGACTCCTAAATAAAGGCCCCTTAAAAGTAAGTGCAACTCCCATTCTTTACATTCAGTAAGGCTGCTGCATCTGTTATTGAATGGAAGGTAGCAACTCTTAGAAAATTTGAGCTCAGTTTTGACTTAGAGGTAAGAAATAGAATTATAATGTTACTGGTCATATCTACTGGTTTATTTCATACAAAATAGCCAGCGGCACTAGGGATGTAAGCCCTCAGCTTTTGTTTTATTTACTGAAAGCTACTAGCATGAAGGATAGTAACCACAAAGTTTGAAATGGATCAAGAATAGCTGTTAAAAAGCTTTTATAATAAGTGTTTTAGGATAAGCTGCACCTTTCAACTCTTTAAACACGAAGGAAAAAAATATAGTTGACAAAGTTAAGCAGGAATAACCTGGGAGTGGATCATTCAAATTGATGCCATTTTCTCATGAGTAGTCTATATCTGATACAGACTAGATCTACACTGGCAAAACTTGCCAGATCTTAGGATATTGGTGCAATATTGCAATGCCTTCTATATGGCTGCTGTTGTATAAATTTTGTAGTTTCATTTTTTTTTTTTTTTTTT